TACTTTGTAAACGGTATTCGTGAGACATAAACTTCAGTACTGCATACAAAAGACTAGCTTCTGCATGAAAAAAAGACAGTAAGATTTTGGAAAAGGTTCAGAGAACAACGATTATGCTGATTTCCGGAACAGTGAAACTCTCGTATGATGCTCGACTGGCTAAACTAAACATATTCCTCTTTTCATGCCGAAGAACTCGAGGTGAATGATTACAGATTTCAAATTGCTTAGTGGTCAGTTTGCACTTAATATGCCCTCATTTTTTTGTCTTCCAAAAACAGAGAATTTACAAAGACACTCCAAAATGTTCACAAGCCTAGAATAAATTATTTGTCAGCTGACTGTCGACATTCCTTTTCGAAACATCAATCAGTGGAATACATTACCTCAACACTTGAAGGAAGCTCCATCTATCGACTCATTCAAAAGAAAGTTAGATCAACTGGGATATCATCAGCGCCAGGACCAACACAGGTCATCACACCAACTGTCCTTTCCAAACTGAAACTGAAACTGCAAGAATCAGCAATTTTATCCTATCGTGATAAATTGAATCTATCAATTGTTCCATTCGATTATACAATTTATATACATAACCTCATTATTTATATTTAACACTTCAAGTACACATGATAGCCAGTTTTACTTCAATCAAATTATATTACATTTCATCTTGATCATTGACTAAGGATGATGCTGATTTCTATCAAATAATTTAAGTCTTTCAACATTAAATTTATTGAATAATATTCTCAAACTATCTATCTTAATGACTGCCATATATTATTTGAGAATGAGTGAGTTATTTAGGGCTGTTATAACTTGTGACTGCCGATTAGAGAGCAGTGAATTATCGACCGAACAAAAGACGAAAACGTTTACCAATTCTACGTAAAAACAGCAAAGCCGAGTGATCGGAGAGCATTGTAACGTTTGAAGTACCAAGTTTTAGAGACGGCTAATGAAAATAACCCTCATGAGTTTAGTGACACAACGTCTGGTTTATGACGTGTTGATTATCATTTTACAAATATGTTTCGAACGCTGGGTAGAGAATTGGTTAATAACCCCATTAAGGTCTTAATAAGATAATCCTCCATCGTTTATAACTGCCAATTTTGTCCGGTTTCTATATTCATCTTTCAGTTTCCCGTAGTCAATATTGCAAAACCAATTCAAGATAAAGCATGTCATGACATATATCTGTTATCCGGACACAGACATTATGGTCTCTTGTATCGACGATATCCCATGATAAACTGTGTATTACGAATTGGGTGAGGATGGAGAATTCAGACCACTGGATTTCAATTCATATTGGTACCCGAAGATCTTCAGACAATTACTACCTAGGAGACCCTAACAAAAATAAGAATCGTCCAGTTCTCCCTATTTCTCGGTATTGCCTTAGCTTTACTCACTCTGTGATAGAAGTTATTCTCAAACGTAAGATCGAAGGTGAATAAGTAAGGTTAGTCTCAAGCAGTACATATCAAGTCGACTATCATATGGACTGAATAGGCGCAATAATCACAATACAATATCGTAACAACGATTATCTTTATCTAGTAAATGTTATATTAACTAGAAATACAGGAAACAGTAGTATACAGAATTCAAATAAGGTCATGACGTGTTACCTCATAGTGTTGTACACTTCTTTCGATTCTATTTGACAGCAATTAGTATGTTCAATACAGTTCACCACATATGCATACAGAACCACACACACAGTTTAAAAAACAACCCTTTAAATAATGATAGTTGGATAAACAAACAAACTAACTGCAAAGTTGATATACCGTTATTATTGCATGAAGAACGTCTATCCTTTGTAAACATCAACAAAGCGGACACATCTCCAACAAGTTGAAAAGCCATGGATGAAGCAATTATTAAGGCGATTCAAATATCTAGAAAGTGAAATTTTATGGTCTCTTTAGAAATATCTGACGCAAACAAATGAGTGAAACACAAAATAGAGAGATGAAAACGAATACAAATGGTTTTTTCTTGAAATTTTTGAAATTTAACCCAACTATCTATCTAGATTATGATCAATCGAAAAACGACAATATTATTCATGAGAAATGAATTATTTTTAACTTTGTCTCAAAGAGTTCTGATTTTATGACGTGTTGGAAACGCTGGATATTTGTAACTATATGTACTTATTAGCAAATAACTAGTGACATCAGTGAATAACTTGCCACAAAAAATACAGGAGATGATACTGAGGTCAACCGGAATAAACCCTTATGCGGAGCGAAATGCACGAACAACGAGTAAAACTCAAGTTTAAGGTGATTGGAAGTTTAATTATTTAGATGTTCTTATCTGCAGTAGCTGAGGAATCATAACACGTAAAATCGACCTGCATCGGAGAGGAGTGACCGGATAACAGATGTCAGTTCTATACATTTATATTCTATAGCACGAAATCCTATCACAAGCGGACCACTTTTCTTTCTCTACCTAGTCACACTATGCTACTAATTTTACTGGAAGTTTTGCGAGACTACAAGCGACTTCATTATTCTTTTTACTGTCATCAATCAACTACATAAACACTCACTTCACAAATAAGTTATAATAATCAGTGCAGAAAGTCAGAACGATATTCATTTGTTTTAGGTCCTATGTTGTCTATGTCTAAAAATCAATGTAAACATAAACTTTAACTGAAGCGCCTTGATACAGATATGGTGCATTTTTATTTAATTATTTGTGACACGTTAAGCAAGTACAGATTGACATATTCAGCTTTGATGCACACTTGAACCGAAATAACTAGCAACACTGTTCGGGAGATCAGGTAGAGTTGATGATTCAAACCAGTGATCAAGAAATTGAAAAGAACAAACTTTTAACCACATAAAGTGTTATAGTTTCACTTTTTACCTGAATCCGTGAATGAAGGCACAACCACATAGAAAAATGTCACAATTAAAGAGCTTTGTTTGTTTTGTTTTTTTAAACTATGAAATCCAATCTTTCAGAACATAACACAAGTTTACAGAATCAAAGTATGATCTATCAATTCGTAGAATAAATACCTTGTATAATAATCAAAACAAACCCAGATCCAGATGGAACATTCTCTCTATAAAGATAAACAAATGGAAAAACATTAGAAGCAACAGATTTGCATATACATGAAATGAACAATTTCAAAGATACAAAAGTAGAAGAAATAAGAGGTAGGTGCAAATGATTATCACCGAATACGGAAATATGGTAGAAATAAACACGAGTAAAACAAACATAATACCTTTGGTTAACTTTGAAAAAGACGACAGGATGTATTTGAAACTAAGCGGATTATGTATGAAAGAAAACACACACACACCAAAATATTGATATAAAACATCAAATGTAACAACAATATACATTGAAATTTATTTGATTCATTTGATAAACGCGAAAGAAAGAGAAAAACAAAACAATCGAATCAGAACATTCGATTCTTCCTTTTTTTGTTGAATAGCCCGCGCTCATATTCTACACTGAAAGAATCATCACATATATGAATTAAGGAGAGTGAAAAAAATCTAAGTGTAATGTGGACAGTAAATTACAGAATAGTAATAAGCACCATCTCTGTCTCTCTTTATATATACATAAATAGACATGCAAAGTCACTCGTTTAACACGAATGAAACGTCTCACACGTAAACAGTAATAGAAAATAGTCCATACAAAAGAAATAGAGATCAGCAACTAAACTTGGCTTTAAATCTTTTTTATTCATTTCTAAGAAACAATGAAAAACGCAGTCAACAAGTACAATGAATAAATATCCAAGAAGTAATTAGAATGAAGAAAACAATAGTAAATATATATTTATATACATGTATATAGATGCGTGTAACTCTACCTGTAGCCCTTCTAGAGTTACTGCTGGTCCCAAGGTCGCGTAAAGGAGGAGGGTTGGGCATGGAGTTAATGACCCCATCACGTAGAAAACTAACTCGCTAAAACAACGCTAACCTGAAACATTATATAGATGCATGTCGATGGTATTGAAAAAGTGATATATTGAATAGTTCATATCAGTATATTCACGTATACCAAAATAGATGAATGGAAATTATAAACTAGAGATAACACAAAGACGAACACATAACGCATAATAGTAAACAAATAGTGTAAGTGATTGAATTCAATCTTTTTTTACTCTGAAATCTACGTCTTATATATCGACAGAGAAATATATGCATACGAAAAAGAGAATTATCAAAATGGGTTTTGTGGGAATTTCTAGTACTTTTACAATTGAATTCATAAGTCAATTAAAGCTAGATCATGGAAAACCTGGGAGTACTGGAAGGCCGTTTCGTCCTAGCACAGGACTCCTCAGCGGTGTGCATCGATGGCTCCGCTCGTGGGAGTCGAACCCAAAACCAGTCGGTCTCGCGCGCGAACGCTTAACCTATAAACTACTGAGTCGGCATCCAAAAGCGTAGGTATATAACCTCAACCAATTCACGAAATTGTGTCACAGTCCACCATTGTTTTCACTGAGTTACTATCTCACAACAGACCTGGTTAGACTCCACTGGTCATGGCTTCTGACTAGAACTCTAGGAAATACCTCTAGAAGCCAGTCACTAGTGAGCACATGATGATAATTATCAGAATGGGTCGGATGCCGGCTTAGTGCTCTAAAGGCTAGGTGTTCAAGCGCGAGACCGTTTGATCCTGAATTCGAACCCGGCGGGCGGAATTGTGGATGCGCACTGCCAAGGAATCTTGCAATGGAACAAAGTAGTAGTCTAGTGCTTCCACGTTTTTCACTATCTAGCTTTAATTGACTCATGAATTCAACAATAAAAAATAGGATGTCGAAAGTATTAATTAATATTGAAATTTTATTTATAAAAAAATAAATCATTGTGCAAGGTGTATGTTTGAATATCTCTCATTGAAACGTAAAAAAGCAAAGTGTAGGTATGTATATATTCGTTGTTAAAAATTCAGAGAGAAATTCTTAAATATTTTTATTTTAATGAATAAGCATAATGTTGTCTAGCATGACAAACACAGGCGTATTTACATGTAAAAGGTTTGTCACATACTTCACATTTGAAACGGACACCTGTATGTGAATTCATATGTCTTTTAACTTGGTAAACAGAGAAAAATTCTTTAGAACAAATATCACACCGAAAGAATCTTTGACCTGTATGCACATAAAAATGTCGTGTAAGGTTACCAAGCCATTTAAAAGGCTTACGGCAACTGGGACAAAAATACATAACTTGACCATCAATCATTTCAGAAGGCACATCACCTTTCTTCCACACATCTTTGCGCTTTAAGCAAATATGATGATGTAGGCTATAATCATTACGGTAATATTTACCACATTGGTCACACCTGAGCATCTTCTTAGAATGATCACCTAAATGGACATTAAATGCTTTAGGCCATTTAGGCTGGAAGTGCGAAGAAAAAGTGTTATGGTTGTATTTTCTGGCAAGATTATTATTTGTATATGTAGCTTTGTTATAAGGGAAAGTGCCTGTTAGTCCAGTTATTGTTGACTGAGGTGTGCTCAAAGACCAGCTTTCAGTAGATGACTGTAAAGTTGAAGTCGGAGTCACTGAATGAGTATCACACGTCAAAGGACTACTACGTATTAAACTTTGGGATGCTTTGTTACCAGGCGATAGATCCCAAGAACTTGTGGTATTTTGTTTTGCGTTCAGCTCATCTTCACCAACCCAAAAGGCTTCGCCGTAACATGGAGTATAAGATGAAGTTTTGTCAGCTGCATCCGTAGAAATAACAAGAGGTTTCGACAAAAAACCTTTGGCATCAGTAACTTCATTTTCAAGTACGCCATCACTTTCCTGTTGGCGAACAGCTAACTTGGACTCATAAAGTGGCCAACAATTATCATTACTTTCCTCTTCATCATCATCTTCGTAATCATCTGCAAATCTAGGATCCGAAACATCTGCTAACACAGCAGTTTTTAAAACAGCTTTCTTCATTTTATCGAATGTCAAGATTAAATAGCCTTCAGGTACAGAATCGTCTGAAGCAGATGATGCCTGGCAGGAAGATGAGCTGCAGTCTGTAGTTTCAGATATATGAGTTAGTAAGGGAACATCCACCATGATCCACTCTAGCTGAACAGATTCATGTCCAACACTTCAAAAACACTAGATGATAACAGTACTATATTTCTGGATCATTGTACTCCTTCATCTATATCACACGCAATCAAATCATATAAATCACACATGACTCTTCAATTCTTTTGTTGGTCCATACCCAGTCCATAACAACTTTTTTATATTATTCATTATCAACCACTACATATACTTGTTACGTTCCGATAAGCATAATGAGTGGTAATTTTGGGACCTATTTATCGATCAATACTAAACGTATACTTTTACAGTTAATTACTTACTTACCTACGCATGCTACTCCCAATGAAGCATAGGCCGCCGACCAGCATTCTCCACCCCACTCTCTCCTTGGTCTTCTTTTCTAGTTCAATCCAATTCTTGTTCATTTTTCTCATGTCTATCTCCATTTCCCGACGCAATGTGTTCTTTGGTCTTCCGCTTCTCCTCATTTGGCCTTTAGGATTCCGTGTGATGTCTTGCCTTTTGACGCAGTTCGATGCTTTCCTCAATGTGTGTCCTATCCACTTCCAGCACTCCTTCCTCATTTCTTCCTTCTGTGAAATCTGCTTTGTTCTCTTCCACAGTTGGTTGTTGCTCATAGTGTCTGGTCAAAGGATCCAAAGTATTTTGCGTAGACAACTGTTAATAAAAACCTGTATTTTCTGGGTGATGGCTTTCGTATTTCTCCAGGTTTTCGCCCCACACAGCAGAAATGTCTTGACATTTGTATTGACAATCCTGACCTTGGTGTCGGTTGACAGTTGCTTTGAGTTACAGAGGTTCTTCAGTTGTAATTATGCTGATATTGCTTTACCGATCCGCCCTTTAACATCAGCATCAAACCCACCACGTTCATCAATGATACTGCCCAAATATGTAAAGGTTATTGCATCACCCATCAATTGTGATTAGATTGGTGCATGCTGTGTTGTATCGGAGAACTTTGCTCTTCCCTTTGTGTATATTGAGATTAACTGCTGCTAAGGCTGCTGCTACACTAATCGTCATCTCCTGCATTTGTTCTTGCGTTTGGGATAGAAGGGCCAGATCATTTGGGAAGTCTAGATCGTCCAACTGCATCCTAGATATCCAATGTATACCGTGCTTCCTTTCAGATGTTGATGTCTTCATGATCTAGTCCATCACCAGGAGAAAGAGAAAGGGTGAGAGTAAGCAACCTTGCCTGACACCGGACTTTACTTCGAACGACTTTGTCAACTGTCCTCCACGCACGATTTTGCAGTTTAATCCATAATATGAATTCTGTATGATATTGACTATTATAATTACTAGTAGTATGATTATTGACACAAGCCATAAATATCCCATTGAAACAATAACCATTACCAAATGAATTGAATTTTTTATCATTATCATCACTCATATTGATGAAATTATTAAATAATTTCATATTATAAAATTCGAATTGTTTCCTGGTATCATGATTGTTGTTGTTGGGGTTGTGGTTGTCGTGTTAGTGGTTGTTGGTATGCTAACGATTGAAATTTCTTATGATTTGTATAGATCTATATATATATATATATATATCATGTAAGAAATTTTGTGTTAAACAGTTTTGTGTTATTAAATGATGAAATATTGGATAAAATGTTTCATTTAAATTAATCATTGTTGATGATTCTGATCCTTCTGCTGATGATGCTTACTACGCTACTGCTGCTGCTGCTGATGTCATATCATTATCATGAGTAGTAGGAGTAGTAGTAGTAGTATTAGTAGTATTATAAGTAGTATATAATAAATATTGTAATTGATGTGAATGAATTGTACATAGATTGAAATCATTTGTTGTTGTAGAATGAATCAAATTCACTAATTTCCGTAAACTTTTTTCTTCTTTTATCAGTAAATGACCATTGGATAAATCCATTAACATCATAATACTCCAAATCATTATAATAAATAGAATGATCCTAATCAAATCGGATCTTTTATGAAAATGTTGGATCATCCTCATTTTGTTTTTTTTTTCAATTCGATGATGGAATCATTCAAAAAAAGAAAAAAAAATACATTAAGCAACCACACCCCCACAACAAAATAATGGAAAAAATGATCTATTTACATCTATGATGATGATGAGGATAAGGAGGAGGAGGAGGAGTATATTGTCGATATTTTATCAGTTATAATGTGTTATATCTATCCATTTTGAAGTAAAACATTCTATATAGATACAGGGATATATGTATCCTAATATTACTGGGTTCACTGTTTGTTTATAAACATCATGCCTAAATATATATATAAAGATAAAGATCTGTTAAATAGGCGCTGTATAGTTGACTCAATATGTACATCAAATAAAAACCAATCCTTGTATTTTCCACAGTTATATAGATAGATGGATACATATATATGTGGATCTGTAACGGACTGACATACCTTACGGACGAATATACCAAAGCGTGTTCATCATCTAAGGGACAACTAAAATTTAGGTCTGATTTGTTTTGGCATAGTTTTATTGATTGGTCAGAGAGTTAAAATCTATTTTCCTTAATTTATGATTAGATATAGTTAATGTATAAAGTGATAGTCAAATTATCGAATAGATTTTATTGGCAAATATAATCAGTTAATCAACTCGATTGAAAATTCTTTTACGACTGAAGGTTTTTAGGATAGTGGAGAAGATTTGTAACTCACTATTTATTTATGCTTGTTATTCCTTTTGGAGGAGCGTGGAATGCTCAACAGCACTCTCCATCAAACGCTATCCTAGACAATCCTTTTCATGTCTTCTTCCAATTCTCGATGTACTGTGTTCATCGGTCTCCCTCAATTATGTTTCCCTTCAGGGTTCCACGCTAGGACTTGCCTCGTCCTGCAATTTGGTGATTTACGTAATATATGTTCTATCCATTTCAATTAACTTTCTCTAATTTTCTACTCAGCTGGAAGCTGATTTGTTCTCTCGCGCAAAACGCTGTTGATGTTGATATCCATTATTTATTTATGAATACTTGTACGTTGTTGATGTGAGTTGTAATAGTTATCCATGTTTCGGCTTTGTGCAGTGGCACTGTTTTGACGTTCGTTTTGAAGATTTTGACTTTGTAGCTCAGGTGGATTATTATGGTGGAGTTTCGTTCTCTGACCTGAATGTTTATCGTTCTTCTGAACGATGAAAGCTTCACGACCAAACTATCAAGATCACAGAACGAACCTCTAGACCACTGGTTGCACTATCGACTCCAAGACAATATCTCAGATTGGTTCAAGTTAGATATTAATACCGTTGAATCCCGGCTCAGTAGTCAAAAGGTTGAGCGTTCAAGAGCGAGTATCTTGCATAGACAACTATTTATAAATACTTAAACCTTCTTGATGATGATTAGGGTAGTTTTCTACGTTTCAACTCTGAACAGCAGCACTGTTTTGACGTTCTTATTGAAGATTTTGACTTTGTAGCTCAGCTGGATAATCATGGTGGAGTTGTGTTTTCTGAGGCGAATTTTTATCGTTCTTTTGAACGATGAAATCTCCACGATCAAACTATCCAGCACAGAGAACAAAACTCCAGACCACTGGTTGAACTATCGACTCAAAGACCATGGTGTATGGTCGCGCAATATCTCAAATAGTCCAAGTTAGACATTAATACTGTTAGATTCCGTCTCAGTAGTCTAGAGGTTAAGCTTTCAAGAGCAAGATCGAACTTCCTGGCTTTGAGTTCAAAGTGCGGGATATGGATGCGCACCGCTTACGAATTCCATACTAGAGCGAAACGGCCGTCCAATCCTTCCAAGTTTTTTGTGTTGGCCTATTTTAAATCTACTCATGAATTCAACTATCAATTTAATATAATCACCACTAACCCCCAATCCGATAATAAAAATATGTATACACTGAGTCTTAAGTCCAAAACGTTTTCGGTAGCAAATCATTGAGAACATACTCCACGTTATCTGCGTAGAAACTGGTTAGTATATCTACAAAATAGTGTTGTGGGACTAATATTATCTGAAGGAAACACCTTACTGCTGTCACACCTCTGTACAGTCAGCAGTACGACTTCGCCTTCGGAACTTGGGTTTGTTGCTTTTAGTCTTACTGCTCTTCAACCGACCTTTCGGACGTGGTAGGACCTTGAGGAACGGTTGTACCATACAGTATAGCTCGGCTGTCTCATCACGATAGGCAATCCCGACCACCATGTCAAGGTAACAACAACGGTCGAGCCAGCACACAGAACAAAACTACAGACCAATGTTTGCACTATCGACTCGAAGATAATGGTGGATGGTCGCGCAAAATCTCAGATTGGTCCAAATTAGACAATAATACTATTGAGTTACGGCTCAGTGGTCTAGAGGTTAAGCGTTCGAGAGCGAGACCGAGGTTCCTTGGTTCGAGACCCTAATGCGGGATCGTGGGTGCGCACCTCTGAGGAGTTCCGTACTAGGACGAAAAAGGCTGTTCAGTCCTTCCAAGTTTCCCGTGATGGCCTTTCTTAAATCGACCCATGAATTCAACCATTAAATTACTACAATCTCCACAAACCTCCATTCCCATAATAAAAATATGTATACACGGAGTCTTAAAATCTAAACGTTTCCGGCAGCAAATCATTTAGAACATATTCCACGTTATCTACATAGAAACTCGTTAGTATGTCAACAGAATAGTGTTATGGGACCAATATGTATTCATCAATGGATTGATAGTTGGTTGCAATTCTCAAATGAATTGGCATCTGAAATAGATTATTTTAATGAACTCAATAACCTTATGAATTACTGATATAACATTCTATCATTTTCTACTTAGACCTGAATTTATATTCATTTAGTGATTGCATTATGATTGACTGTTATATGAACAACACATTCCATGAGATTGCTAACACTTTGTTGTGACTTTGAAACCCAGCCAGTTTTCACGTGATATATCCGTGAATTGAAATGAAACTTATACAATATTAGTACTGTAACAAAACAATGATGTTCGACCACTATGAACAGTCTAGTGTCGTTATCTGTTCCCTTGATCTCCTAGCCTGTCCACTTCAGTCTAGAACGCCAATAAAGGCTTCCGTTATGTGAATCATTTATTTCAAATTTACTTGGTTTATATACCAGCCAAACACACCGCTGCATCACACTATGTAATAGGAAATAACATTTATACAATGTGAAGTCAAGATGTGGCTGTGGAGTGATGGTGGTGAGACTGTAATGAATAAACTGAACGTAACTAAAGAAAAACAGTAAATTGTATGATAATAGTCTATGGATCACAATGATGCTTATACTAAGAGGAATATGAATATACACACTCTAATTACTGAGTAGTTAGTTATACAGTAAGTATATATGTATAGGATTAGTCCATTATTAGTTGACAGAAGTTACCCATAGTTTAATCTTCATTAGGATATAATAATCTTCGTATTTTGTCTTCTGTTATAATCATGTACGTATAAACTGAAACTGACATCGATTTATCCATACATATTAGCTTATTCACAGAAGTTGAAGATATTCAATAAAGTAATAATTCTAATAATCAATAAAAATGCTTTTATCACACCATACGTGTATGGAGCAATAATTTCAGATGAACAGACACTCAAGTCAATCAACAGACACATAGAAGTCAACTCAATGTATTTACTAAGTGGAGAAATCATGAACAAACATAGAGTCAGGAATGAAACCGTCAAAGATAAAAACAATAAGAATAAATATGCATACAACAGTAGGTACTTAAGATGAGAGATGACATACAAGCTGTCAGTCATAATATGGAGAAATTCAAGTACATCATATCTACCTGATGTTCAAAATAACAATGGAACCTGCATGAATAAACTTTCCAGCCCATAGAATAAGTCTTCACCGAAATTATCAACCTGAGCTAAAAAATCTACACCATCTCAATATTCGTACACAAAGTAAATAAATAAAACTATTAGAAATTTCTATGCGAAAATAAAACTTGGAAACAACGAATTAATTCCATGTTCAATTTTATAGAGTTGTGGCTAAGTCAGCCTAATATGAATCCTTGTCGTTTAGTATATATACTAGTGCTTTCAGGTTTTCCATGGTAGTCTAGCTTCAAATGACTCATAAATTCAACTTTTAATTTGTTATAATATCCACAAAATCCCCCTCTGATCACTTGGAATCGTTCACTTGAAATTTCGCATTGATGTTTAGAACGAAACGCGCGTCCTGGATTCCACTGCTAGCCACTATTCATCTTCATTTATCTGAAAGACTATTTTCATCATGAACTGAAACTTAATTGGTGGATCGTTTGCAACAACTAAACAATATTAATTCATTGTTTTGATCTGATCCCAATCTCTTCATCAGTAAACATTCATAAATGTACATAAGATGAAATTCAGAAACTTTATTTGTCTCAATTAATAGGCTAGTTTTAGGAATCCAAGCAATATTTCAATGATCTTTACATTTATTTTCAGTCAATACACAATGTAACATACATGAATATTAATACGAAAATGTTGAAAACAATAAAGGCAATATAAGTCAATAATCACAATGAAATAGAATAAGTCTCCACACATAATAGTTAAAAGTACAAGTTTATGGTTAGAAGACATGTGAACTGATAGTAGTGAGAATAATGACATACAATCACAAAAGTCTTATCAATAGCTAAATGTTGGGAATAGTAGGTCAAGCATGGGTAAATAGACTGGGAATAGTAATCACAAAACATTAAAATCATTACGTAATAAGATGTGTGTAAACAATTAGATAGTGAAGAATGCAAACGACGGAAAATTACAAACAAATAATGAATGTGGAAATAAAGTTAATGATAAGAAAATACAATAAAATAAATAATGATAATAATAAATTTTTTTGAAAACATATCGCTACTTAAGTTATAGCTGGCCACCGAAGTGACAGG